ATGAGTTCTGGTAGTTTTCTGGTGGCATCTTTAGGGTTTTCTATGTTTAGTATGTCATCTGCAGAAAGAGGCCATCTTACTTGTGAACTGGAAGCTGAGAACCCACCTGCTGCCGTGACTTCATCACTGCTGATGACTGTTCTGCCTGTTGGTGGGCCCTTGCCCAGTCCTGCTGCGTGGCAGTCAGCCCCGCTCAGACCTCAGAACTCCACACTGGCTTCCCAGGTGGCATGTTGGTTTAGTTCATATTCCCTTGCTCAGCCATGGTCCCTAGAACAAACCTCTGGGCTAGGATACATAGGGCTAGAGGAGCTGGTGGCATCAGCTCCACATATTATGCTAAAATGTCCCTCTAGGTTTAAATTCTCCTTTTCCTAAAAATAACTTCTCTTCAAGTATCTTGTTCCCTCCATTTCGTCCAGGATACCATGGTCTAGCCTATCAGATCTTCCTCACCTGAAACCTGTGTGAGCAGAGGTTGGGTTTCTGGTTCCTCCTCTCCCAGAAGGCTTTTTTGTTTGTTTGTGTTTTATGTGTTATTTGTGTGAAAAGCATTATAAATCTATTACAGTGTGGTACCCTACAACCGGCTGTGTTAGTTGTGTACCTTGGCTAACTGTGTTGAACTTAAGAACAAATTGGACTTACAAACATGCTCTTGAAACGGAACTCATTTGTATGTAGGGGACTCACTGTTAATGTATTTCCAAATAATATATGCATCAAGGTAGAAACCCAAATGAAAATTAGGAAGTATTTTGAACTGAATGAAAATAAAAGCTCAACATTTCAAAATCTGTGGGGTGCTGCTAAAGTATCTAGAGTGAAATGCATAGCATTTAAGTTTTCATTAGAAAAGATGAAAGATCTCAGATCAGTGAATTCAACTTCCACCTTAGGAGACTGGTAAAGAAGAGCAGATTAAACCCAAAGTAAGCACAAGAAAGGATAAAATAATGAGAGCAGAATTCATTGTAATAAAAACCAGAACGTAATCAATGTAAGCAAAAGCTTGTTCTTTGAGAACATCAATAAAATTGATAAACCTTGAGCCAAAGTGATCAGGAAAAAAAAAGACATGACACAAATTTCTAGTATCTATATTTCAAATCCTGAAAGATGATGCTGTGAAAGTGCTACACTCAATATGCCAGCAAATTTGGAAAACTCAGCAGTGGCCACAGGACTGGAAAAGGTCAGTTTTCATTCCAATTCCAAAGAAAGGCAATGCCAAAGAATGCTCATACTAGTGCACAGTTGCACTCATCTCACATGCTGGTAAAGTAATGCTCAAAATTCTCCAAGCCAGGCTTCAGCAATACATGAAC